ACAATGAACAGTCAGATCACGCTCTAAACTTGCCATAAATATTTATCTCGGAAACAATTGGCTAATGGTGAACCAGCTATTAGTATGTGAAGTAGAGCTCTTGTAATACAAAGCTTAAGTTTCCAGTGTGTGTGTTTTAGGAGCTATTTGGCACAGTGAAAAGCAAGGCTGTGTGCTTAACAAATGTCCTCATAATAAGCTGAATTGAAAGGCTTGTTTAAGGTTTCAGCCTTCCGTACCTGACACCTCCAGCTGTCACAGCTGTCACATCAGAAGTGGGCTGATGTTTATTCTGTTCTGGGTGATAGATCAAGCCCTGGAAAAGAATTCTTGCATTGGATCTTCCTTATATTTTATGCAGAGAATAGGAATTAAGTAAGGAATCAGGTTCCAATGTCAATTTTTTTTATTAGCAACTCACATTTAAAGCAGTGAAAAGATACCTGCAAAAAGGATGTTAAAGGTGTTCATCCCAACTATGTGTTCCAAGAAATCTGATCTCACATTGCTTAATGCTCTTTGGATGAATAAAACATGAGATCTTCAGTTCTAAAACTGACTACTGTCTTTCATTGTAGGTACACACACATACTAGAATATTAACTAGATCTCCCTTCAACTGAAGTAAGTCTCAATTCCACAGCCGATATACAAATGCACCCAGTGCTGGCTTTTGTAGCAGAGAGAATTTATTTGTTTTGCATTCGTAGATTTTCTTCATCCAAAGTTCTCCCATGCAAAAAGAGTCAAGGCCGTGTAGATTAACACATCAACCAATTGTGCACTCTAAAATTAAAGCAGTGCAAACTGAGTGCACTGAGCTCTTACAGACATGGTCAGTACCTGGTTCTGAAAGGCGATACTGTTTCTTTTCTCTAGTGATCTTCTAAGAGCTATTTCATAGAACACCTCCAAATCCACCGCTAGACCTGAAGCCATGTCAGTTGCTATGCTTTCCAAAGCATTTGTTCCTTTGTATGAAAGTGACCTCAGTGTACTTCTGAACAGAGCAACAGGCATCTGCTGACACCTGAGACAGTCTGTACCAAAAATGTCTTGATGTTATTTTACCCACTTTCACAACACGCTGTGTGTCAGACAGACTGAAGGACAAAATCCACCTTAATGAACTAGCTTTAGGCACAAGTTGAGAACATAACCAAGGTAATACACATGTACTTACTACTGGTTAGAGAAAGCTCACGGCTCATTAACAGCTAAACAATTTTTACGATCCTTAAAACCACTGTGGATTACAAATGCTTTTCTTTCTTGAAGCTGAGGAATGACCTACAGAATGCAGGCCACCAGAATTTTCTAAAAATAACTCCATCACAAGCTGGGCAGCAGAGATTACATTGCGAGAGTCCTTTCAAGGTCACTTGCAAGATTTACGCTTGCAATAGGCTTACTGTTTGTGTTTGAGAGTAGTCCCAACCTGGCCGGGTTGGGAGCACATTTTCAAAAAGAATTGCCAGCATCCATGCATGCCTGCCAGCTCCAAGCAGTATGTTCTCAGAAATTGGTATTCCTGTTGTCACCTGAGATCAGCAGCCTGAAAGAAAAGGGAACAGTCTTTGTATAACAAAACTCAGTCTTCATTCACGGAGTGCTTTGTAAAATACAATGCATTCCATCTCTCCCTGGAGGTTTCCTGTGTGAATACGTGTGCTAAGATTTTATGAAAAAGACTCAAAGAAAGAGACTTTCTGTGAATACTGTTTTTTCCAACGCGAGATGAGGAAAACCAACAAACACATGTTCTTGAAGGAGACCCAAGAACACAGAAACAAGCAAAATACAAGCTTCCATCTTCCTAAGACAGAACTGTACATGCCAGAGGTGTGACAAAGAAATTTCAAGAGAGAAAAAAAAGTTTATTAGGATTTCAAGTTAAACACCTTTAATAATTACATGTTATACAAACACACCCACACTTACCAAGACTGTAGCGACAATGTATATTATTTTACCCCCTCTGTTGAGGAGGTCTGATGATGGTTTATCACTGTAGACCTGATTCACTCTCTTCTTCTAGCCCTCTTCTTCTAGCCTCCTCCAGGCAACACAACATGGATTCCTCTTTTACTGACAGAACAGCAATGTTGGCTGTGACAAAACCACATTTCAGTGTCTTTCTCTTATGAGGGAGGAGGTTTGCGTGCACAGAACTTTAACTCAAACTGAAATTCCCTTCTTTACATACTTGGAGCATCTAGCCTGCAACATCTATTCCAGCTGTAACTGTTATGTGCTATTACGGACATTCCCACATTTTCACAAATGCAATGAACATATCCTAGTCCTAAAGGCATCGGCCTAGACTTATATTTCATTTTAAATGTGATATACTGAAATCTGAAGAGGACACAAGAAGTTGTTGACAATACCCATAACCTTCCTCCTCTGCGAAGATGGTGAATATTCTGAATATGCTATTCTAAAACTTCATCCAAACCACCCCCTTCACCTTTGTATGAAACAGGCTGTTGTGAATATTTTCACTAAAGAGCCAGCAGCATGTGGTGATCATACTACCACAACTAAAAGCACAAGACTTCTGTTTCAGGCCATCCAGTGAGAAACAGGTAAATCATACTGTTGAAAGGAGAAGTAAATGAACTAATTAGTAATAACTGCATGCAGCTAAGTCATGGCCTGAACCAGTGATTGAGCACCTGGTGGGAAGGCAGGGCCAGCTCAGGGAAGCTCAGCTGCATGCAATGTGCCTGAGTGACCAGAAGGGGTGGAGACAGGGTCTAACCCTTCCCAGACCTCATTTAAGGGTTGGCAACTGAGGCAAAAGTCTCTCACTGGGAATCCCTGCCTTCCGGAGGCTTTCCTGAGGTAAGCAGTTTTTCTTCTTTTGTTTCTGTGCACACAGCTGCTGTGTTTGGGTTTGTTCTCATTTGCTGTAGCCTAGGATTGTGCTGCTCTGCTATTATTCCTGTACTTTTCATCACATTAGAGCATTATACTGCGGAAGACAGGCTTGAAATACTTATGGACAACTCAATCAACAGCATGCCAGACATCACATTCATGTATTTTCTCAAAATTTTAATGAAAGAGAACAGCTTTTGAATAATGTAGTGCATCATTACATGACTGCTGAGGCTAAGGATAAAACATAACAATATTTGCAGGGCAGTAAATCTGTTGTATTTACTGAGGCATCATGTATGTTTACTACATATGCATTACACATACACTAAACATGGAATGCCAAAAGTATCAGAGAGCTTCCAAAAGCCCTATGGTGATTTATTTCAAGTTTTCTGTGAATCGCTTGTGTTAAGGCAGTGCTACCTGCTGTGCTATGAGATGCCTGTCAACTTTTCCAGTTATAAAATTTTCTTTTCTGGAAGACTAGAGCTCAAAAACCAACAGTAAATGTGAAAATCTCATTTCCCTTACTGTACTTTAGATTCTATGCTTTCACCTAGACCTAGTAGGGCTCTCCAATTTCATAGCAACTCACCTTCCAACTGATAGAACCCAAAAGATTTCATTACTATGTCATAAAATTTCCTAATAATTTTAACTACCTGGCATTCTGTAATAAAATCCCGCTGAAGTTACCCTGCTGGTTTGTTTTGTACTTACAGAAAAATGAGCCCAATATACAATCTCAGGTTTTATTGTTGTGTTATTGCCACGTTGACAATTCCAGGACAATTCTTTTGCAGTAATTTCATGTAACATCTGAACGTAAGCTGTGCTTGTATGTGATTGTGATATATTTGAAAGTATTAATATCATCAGACAACCCCAATGATCAATTATGATTCTTTATTTTCTGCAAGATAATGCATTGGTAAGGACAGCTATGCATAAACATGGATATCTTCCAACCATACATAATATGCTTTCATACAGAGATATTTTCTAATCATATAGCGAATCCCACAGTCTAAAAGTGACTAAAGATATCTTGAGAATCTTACTTCATTGTACAAACTTATATACCAATTCAAGGAATCAAAGACAAATTTCTGATACTGTCTATATATGCTATATATATTGCATTAACAACCAAGAGCAGTTGTTGCTAACTCAAAAGCTGGAAATGTGTTGCTTGCATAAGGGCAGAGATGTCCAAGCCCACCAAATGGTGTGCAACTATTCTGAAGTATTTTCAGTTTTCCAATACAGTCAATGAATGGAGTCAAGAGCAAATCAGGTTGTCTTGAAACATGCTCTATTGACTGTTTTGACTACAGTTAGAGTCTACATGCTACTTCAGATGTAGACATGAAAATAGGAGAGCTGAATGCCACCATTCTTAAACCAGCAGCTACCAGCATCGAGTGACCATGACCACCAGCTGATACACTAATGCAGCAGACTGACAACTACTGGCTGCACTATCCATGAGATGACAGTCTCTCTGTCCTGAATCTGCTAGTGATTTAGCTCATAAATATGTTCTATGAGGTTCTACCCTCAAGGATAAATAATTTGTGTGAATCACTTGTACACTCATGAGCAACTAAGAACAAGGCCTCAGAAGTACCGACATCAGGAACAAAAAAAGAGTATTTTTTTAAAAATGCATATTCTAATGCAGATTAATTCTTATAAACAACACTCACTCCTTAAGGCAAGTACAGTTATCTAATTAAACTGAAAATAAGGACTTCATACACAAATCATAGGTCCCCTTCCTTGGTGCAGAATAAATATATCCACGCCTATCTTTTGTAATACACACTTTGCATTTCAAACCTATGTATAGATGGCCATACCAGGTCCCTTTCACTAACGTGACATGAGTTATTCCACTTGTGAAATGGGTTGTATTTCACAGTGTTTTGCTCCTGTACTCACTCTTTGAGACTGTTAGAAGTTTTATAAACTCAACAGGGCACTATAACCTGTACTAGTCAGTTAAAAACAAGAAGTACGTTTTTAAAATGTAGGTGGAATGTTTAAAAAATGACTTTCCTGGGTTTTATAAAGATGAAGAAGGAATTGGCTAGAGCTTGTGCTTTTTTTTGTTTTTTAATTTCAAACTGTGTAATTGACATATTTAATTATGTGGCCTAACCTAATCTGATTGCTCTGTCTGAAAAGTAACTTTTATTCTCCTTCATTAATAATAATTTTAAAAAAAGATGCATAACAGAGCTTATCTCATAAAGTTAAATGCTGTAATAGCGTAATGTAAAAAAGACAGATTTTTGTCCAGTTTAAGTTCAGTTCTTGAAGGTCCTGAATTCCTTCAACTTGTTGCTGGATTTGAGAAATCATCACATCCAAAAAACAAAACAAAAACAAAAAAACAAACAAACAAAAAACAGGCCTGTGAGGTCACAGCAGCAGCGTGCTTATAACTCTTGACTACTTCTTCACACCCACACAGAGCTTGCACAAAAGAACTTCATCAAGCCTAGGAGTGCAAAGCGGTGTAAAAAAGAGTCAGCTGAATTTCTGCCCACTTGTGATTTAACATCTCAGGATACTGAAGACTGCAAGACTGTATTCAAGACAAACACTAATTTCTGTCTCAACAAACTCCCCCGGATAACAGAAGTACCAGTACAAAGGGGGAATGTTCTCTACTGGGTTAGCATAAAAACTACATTAACTATCTGCTATTGCAATGCATAACTAAAAGCACAAGTTTTAAGCTCACTAATCATAATCATAATTTTCATCTTGTCAATCAGACAGTCTTATCAAAAATCCACCCTTGATCAGCAAATACTTAGAAGGGAAAACTTTTCATTTGGTATATCAACTAAAAAATGTCTTTGTTCTTCCTAACCCTTGAGAATTAAAATAAAAGAACAGAACAGGATAAGATTTTAGAGGTCAGTATTATTGATCTGATTGTGTGAACTATAAAGGGTCAATGTCTTCTCTCAAAAACATATTCACTGATGGCAGTTTGGCTGAGATTTCTGTGGTGAGCTCACTTGCGAGGTTGGTGGATGTGCTGTTTGACATGTTGAGGGTGAGGAAGCTTTTCCACTGAAGGATGTGGTTTCTGATGTGCCACCTGAGCAGCTGCTGGAGGGAAGTCCTTATCACCCTGTTTGAAAAACACATTGGGAAAAATTTAAGTAATATTAAGTATGTTCTAGTTCAAGTGGACATAAGGTTTTTTAAGTGTGAAGAGAATATGAAAAACAGTGCTGCTTATTCCTCTGAAGTCCTGCCATACACACATCTTGCCATTCTTGCAGCCAACTTCAAAACTTATTTGCACAAATCTAACTTTTTCCAATTATACACAACACCTAAGAATGCAGTATCTTAGAGTGACGGGGGG